ATAAGACAGCAACTGGGAGCTATGTATGCAATAAATCCCTCATAATGCTGACTTCTGCCTTTTATCTTCAACCTGAGATTCGAACTTATTATTGTAGTGATATATGTACACTACAAACGCTATAGAAGCCACGCTCTACCACTGAACTAAGAGGCTCACCGTGAACTGTCAATTTGACGCCACTTGGGTCGATTTGATTGCCCAACTTACTGTTCTTATGGAATCCACCAGTATGGATACAGTAAGCTGAGCGCCAGGCAGGATTTCTTAACTAATCATCTAGGATCCACCCGATGGACTATTAGGATAACCATAATTATTAGGGGTTTGGCGGATTTTAATAATTGCAGTTGACCCAATGGTGAAAATTTCGCGGCCTCGGTAGCATTTTAACCCACGCAGCAGGGAAGGCTTTTGTAAAGCCGACGCTCTACCATTGAGCTACGAAGGCACGCCGAAGCTTAGAATTTAATGACGCTTGGGTCAATTTACCCGTGCAACCTACTGCACGTATGGAATCCACTATTACGGGCACAGTAAGCTGACTGCCGAGGCCGAATTTCCTGAGCAACCATCTAGAAGTAGCTAAATTGGTAGAGCATTGGCTGTACAAAAACCTTCCCTGCTGATAGGGGTTCGAACCCACCAAAGCCACCAATTTTTCACAATTGGATCAATTGAACCACTCAAATCTGCCAAAACCTCCTTATAATCATCAATAAATAAAAGGAATCTGACTAACAAAGCCACGATAAAATAGCTGTGCGTAGACCTCCCCATAAGAATAGCCTTCTTGCTATGGCCTGGCAAGTACGGTTTGCTCCATTCGGAAATTACCGATTGTGTGAAAGCGTCTTTTTCTTCACCCCAGGAACGGCAATTGATATGGTGTTAGTGGCTGAATGTTAAACATTAACGAAGCTTACACGAACCGCAGACCTAACTAACATAAGGCCTTTGGCGTTAGAAATGCATTAACCTATGCGTAAACGGGAGGGTCTGGGCGCCATGTGGGACACAATGAAGGCTGGTACCCGAAGGATGGGGCCTGACAGCTTTTACCATATCGCAATCGTGCGTATTCTGTCCTTTAAAACTAAATTGGCTGGCGACACGTGCCACTGAAACTCGATTTTTACCCCGCAACTGCGAATATCAGTGCGCATAACGGCCGCCGGCCACCTCCTCCCACCACTTCGATGTGAAGTCACACATAGACCGAAGGCAACCATTAAGCATCAGGTTGGAGCCCTGAAGATCCACTGCAAGAGCAGGAAAAAGCTGGAGTCATCTGTAGAATCTGGTTCAGTTGCGGATAAAGCAAATACGTTTGAGAAACTGGAAGACTGTTCTGGATACGATTACTCGAACACGCGGCAGCAGTGCAGAAAATAACGCCAACTGTCAAGTTGCGGCTCAGTTGAAGCCAAATTCCTGCAAAGGGGAACAATTTTGTGAACCGCGAGTTGTTTTAATCATGGTTTACGGGCCCCAGGCCATATTCGATGACGAGACTTAGGCTGGCCAAAGCAAACAGGCAAGCAGACGTATTTTCCTACGCCAATAATGGTGAGCCAGGTGGCCGAGCGATCATCATGCCAACGTCCAACACAGGTGATTACACTTCAAAGATTAGCGACTGGCCTGCCGCCCATCAAGCAATTATCGCATTAGAGGGCAACAATTTGTGATGAAGCTAGCAGCCGTTAATTGTCATACGCATGCGGTAGCACGTAGGACGTGTCAAGCGAGTCAATTTCATGTTCCAGCGACCGCCTCTACTTCTTTCGAATCCACTTTGGTCGTTTACTGAGAGGCGCGGACAAAGGAGGATGAGAAGGGGGAGGGGGGTGGGGGA